GGGGTGAAGAGCTGGTGGAACTGGATTCGAGCCGGGGATTTGTTCAATGGAGGCATGCATGAAGACCGAATGGATGGATGGATGGATGGATGAATGAATGTGGAAACCTTGGGTAAATCCATTCAAAATAACTATCATTATAGGGCCACTGGGTCAATTCGCACAAACTCCTTTGCCTACCGATGCATTCATACAAGACCATCTGTATACATACAGTTTACTGCATTTCATTGATAACAGACTACTTTTCAGTCCTCTGAACCATACCTGCAGAAAAAAGGAAAATGAGCAAAAAAAAATCACTTATCATCTTACCAGAGAAGCCACGGTTCATCTTTTAGCACATATCCCTTGCACGTAAATAAAATTGAGATAATATTGTATGTTATCTTGTAATGACTATAATCATTTCTTAACATCATTAAATATTTATCTACAAAATAGTTTCATGACATATGCCATCCCAACTGGAGGACGTAAAATAATTTAATTGCCTCCCTCACCCCCCACCATTGCACCCTTGGGCCAACAGGAGGTGTGCAGGAGGGAAAAGCAGTCCTCTGGGTTCTATAAGCCCTTTGTTAAACAACTCCTTCCAGGTCAAGTAGAATTCACTGAAAGGTGGGGGTTAAACCTTGCCTCAGCCACTCAGAAGTTTTAGAAAGGAACTCCGAGCGAGCCCAGCCATGAAGGAAAGATCTTTTGTGAATGAGAGAACTTGTCTTGGGCAGGATGCTGCCCGAAAGATAATGTCATTGTTGTTGCTGCCGTTATCACTTCTGCCTTAAACCACTAAGATGTGTAAAATTTCTACAGTCACATCACAAGTCTTCAAAGGAAAGTAGGGCACAGATCTGGACAATAATTAGGAACAAGAAGAGAAGCAGAGAGAAGGAGAGAGATAGTAATAAAAATATGCAAATTATAATAGTGCGATGTTCTGGGTTTTTTTTTTGGTGAGGAAAGGCTATGAAACTGGCAATGTTATTTTTACTTTTTATCTTAGTATACCAAGTGCGAGAGTTAAAAAATCCACACTCTTATACACTGGAAACCAATCTCGCAGTCTTTATCAAGAAATTTAAAATGCTCTTGTGGCCCAGATTACTTTTTTCGTTTCTAATAAGCGATCCTAAGAAAATTATTAGGGCCTTGGTTAAAGATTTATACACATAAGGCTGAGCAAAATGTTTTTTGTAGCATCAAAATATAAGCGGCCAGCTTAAAAATACTAAATTAAACACTAAACTAAATACTAAAATTAGAGAGATACTAAATTAAATTTAATCCATGAAATAATGGGTGTTTTGGGTGAATTTTTATTGACATTGAGGAAATGCCCATAACATAGTTTCTATGAACAAAATCAATATAAAATTAATTTTTAAATTATATGTAAGACATGGAAAGTGTATTAGAAGAAAATAGATCAAAATTTATAGCAGATACTTCTAGGTGAAGGAATTATGAGTGATACCTAGTTTCTTTATGTGTTCCTTTATTTTTAAAACTTTCTGCAATTGTAAGATACGAATCTTATATTCAGAAAAGTTTTTTTTTTTTTTATCAAAAAGTGAGACAAATACAAAAATGAAAAAAATAATGTTGATAAAATCTGTGTAATCCTGGCAAAAAAGACCCTGAACTCAGAGTTATGAAATGTCATATAAAACGCACAAGTCCAGTATGGCTGGGAGCGGCAAATAGTACAGAAGGGGGCACCGCAGATCAGAAACACGGCGAGAGGCAAGACTGAGTTCATGAGAGAACACGTGGGACCCCCGAAGAGGAAGGGGTCACTGGAATACACAGCACTGTGCCAGACGCTTGGAAACCTGGGCTTTGCAGACCAGGCGAGGGGCACTCCTGGTCGAGGAAGGACCAGAGGGAACACCTGCCTTTTAGGTGAGCTCATCCAGCCCTGACCTCACACACCACCCACACAGCCTTGGGTCAATGTCGGAAGGTCCCGTGGTAGACCCGGCACACTCAGGGATGGACAAAAGCCAGCCACAGACACGGACATTTGCTGGACTGCCTGTCCTCACACCTCCCACTGCTCACCCCTTTCTTGGACCCGGACAACCTTGCAGATCCTACGTTTGGTGTCTCTCTTTCCCCAGCTCCACTGGGTAACAAACTCGTTTATAGCCAGCTCTAACCTTAGAAACCTTCCCAGAACCTGCCTTCCACGATTAGCCCTCTAGCCCCATGAACCACGTAACCTCAGGTGAGAAGCGCCTGAGGCAGGTGCAGTCTGCTCTCGCCACGCCCCCTACGGAGGCCCGTCTTCTGCCTCCAGCGTCAGCAGCTCTTTTGCCTGAGGTCTCCGGCCTCCAGGGACCACTCTGCGCATCTGGGAGGAGCTCAGGGCTCTAGGGAACTAACAAGCCCTTGGGAATAGCCTCCGACCAATGCCTTGTAGAGTTGGAGGGTAAATACCCTGGCTCCCCTGATGCTCAGGATAACTCTAAGACAGGTCCTCTGCTTCTCCCTCAGAGCTCCTCAGCTCTAGCTGCCCGCAAGAGATACTTGCCACTTCCCTCTCCTTCCCATGTCACTTCTCCGCCCCTCTCCTGGTGTTTTCTGGGACCATCTTCAAATAAAATAGTTGCATTTGGATCCTTTGCTCAGAGTCTGCTTCTGGCTGAAACCAAACTGGGACAGGGCCCTGCCTCAGGCCATATGGAACCGGCCTAGGAAGCCCAACCTCTCGCAGTTTCCACATGTGTGTTTATCCTGAGGGGTGGGCAGGACGGACGACAGCGGGGTTGGTGTCGTTTCCTGTCCGACCTCTGAGGCTCACCTCTGTGGTGACGGGCCACGGTCACACACGGAAAAACAAACATCACATCTCCTAACAAATCTAGGAACAGGTCTTTCTTTGCAACAGGGTCGTCTGTCCTTCCCAAATACTTCTCAACGACCATTGGTGCCAGTTCCTCGGGAATGTTCTGAAACAGATCGGGAGTGGAAGTGGCCGGTGAGAAAGGCACACGTTGATGGCGAACCTCTCGAGTCCTGCGCACACCCCTCTCCTCCCCCCGTGGCCAAGCGGGAAAGGGAAAAAGTGGGGACAAAACCCTCTGGCTGCAGTCTTTATTCTGCCATCTAACTGCTCTGTGATTTGGGGTAATCCCCTGCCCCTCCTTGGGTCTCAGCCAGTTCTGGGGATTCCCTAGACCCTTACTGTGGAGGGGTAGGACTTCGACAAGAGCAGTGTGGCCATCTCCTCGTCCATCTTGCCGTCAAAGATCGGGTAGCCCATTACCTGTTAAAACAATGGTTTCGCATTTGTGAATCACTGACATTGAACCTGACCGACAACCAACCAACCAAACCAATGCAGGCTGGAAGTCAACTTGGCAAGGTTGTTGATGGGCTAGGAAAAATCAGTAAATCAAATGGACTTATATCCATTTCACTCAAGGAGTGAAAATTGAAACTTGTGCAAAGGGGACAGCTGTCCTGGCCCCAGACTGGGATCTGGAGAAGGAGATCCTGAGAGCAGAGGTGGGGGGTGGTGTGACAGGCGGGGGAGGCACGTCCAAGAGGCTCGCACATTCTCACCAGCGGAAGGACCCAGCCAAACTCATGCTTGTTGATTCCGAGGAGATATGGGACGGGGTTGAGTTTCTTTTCAGCCAGCATCTCTTCAGGCATCTTTGGAAGCACCACGCCATCAACCACAGTGTGCAGGAAGGGGTGGCTCTGGTGGAGAGGGCACAATGACGTGTGTGCTCCCTCTCTCGAGGTCACACTCACGACCTCCTTTCAGCCTGTCTGAGCATGAGGCCAGCACCGCAGACCTGTGTGGCAGTGGCCACAGGACTCGGGGTCCTAACAGAGGGGCTAAGTGCATGACCCCAGGGGGCAGATCTAGTCCCCAAAAGACTAGCAGTGGGAAAGTGATGGAAGAAAAAAAATCTCACTCAAATTGAAATATATAAAAATATATAATGTAAAATTTATTTTATATTAATATTTCTATTTCATACAAAACATAAAAAATATATTTTACATGTATTTCAATGTGAAGCGTATGTATCTTTATATGTATCTTTCTACAGTCGATTCTCATCATCCACAGGAGTTAAGTCCTATAAAGTCACTATGAACTCTGAATTAGCGAACACCGAGTCCCGGCTCCCAAGGGAAATACAGGGGGAGGTCCTGCCAGCCTGTGGTCACAGATCGGGACATGAAACTTGGCTCCGCCACTTACTCGCTGGTAACTTGGGAAAGTAATTTCACCTGTTCGTGCCTCCGTTTCCTCATCTACAAGATGGGTTGGTGTGGGGATTAAATGACCGGACACGTGCAGAATGCTCCACACGGTCCTTGGTACGCAGAAGGGACTTGACGGACACTAGAGAGTACTCATCGGCAGCGCCGTCACAGATCCTGCACACAAAGGCCGGCCTCCTGTGCCGTTCCCTCTCCCTGGGTGGCAGGCGGGCCCAGACCATCCAGGCTTGGAGACCCTGTGGCTCCCAGGACCTGCATCTGCTCTGCGAAGGCCGATGGATGAGGCGCCCGTTCTGGCTGGCTGCCAGAAGTTCCGGCAAGTGAACCTGACCCAACAGAACGAGGGCCCAGATCCTCATCCAACGCGGCCGGCGGCAGGGGAGGAAGATAGGGGCGTGACCACCGCCCTCTCTGAAAGGCACGGCCCAAGCTGGGGGAGCGGAGCAGCTCATTCTGGAAGGAGGACATAGGGCACCCCACAGGAGGCCCGGCATGGGCAGCGGGTTCTGGGGGATGAGCTGTACCAGCGGGTGAGGAAAGGCGCAGGGACTGCTAAGTTGTGGGACCAGCGGGAGCAGAGGGACAGAGGGGCCCCCGTGTCCCATGCAGGGCGGGACGGCCTGGGGCACCAGCGAGGTCAAGCGACTGGAGTCCGGGCTCGTACGATGCCCGGCACGGAGCGAGCACTCAGACACGCCTTGACGAGGCAAATTCCCGGAGACGGGGGATCTGTGCCGTGAGAAGCCGGCGTGCCCTGGCCTGCGATGATCGGAGTGATTCCTGCAGCATCGCGAGCCAGGGCAGTGGGGAGAGAGAGCAGAGGTGAACGGAGCAAAGCCAGAGGAGGGAAGGAGCAGTGAAGGGGATCGTTTCATAAACTATATAAATGTCTAACCAACGTACTGTATACTTGAAACTAACTAAAATTTAAAAATTTAAAAACATTTGAACTCCGCCCCCCCCACCCCCACAACACCTCCCAAAAAAGTTCCGGAGAGAGACAGAGGGCCCCGGCGGGTCTGGCAGTGTCCAGTGGGGGTGCTGACTGACGCCAGCAGCGGTGAGAACAGCAGTTACTGTCCCTGTCCAGAGTGGGTGCAAGTGGCTGCCCTATGTGGACGTTACCTTGCTCGGGTCCAGAAAGCCAGGGGCCTGTGCCACCCCTTCTGCTCGTCTTAAGCCCCACAGCCTGTCCATTAGCAAATCTTGTTGGCTGCTCCTTAAAAAATATCCAGACACCAAGCCCCCCTGGCCATCCCCTCTGCCGCGGCCCGTCCAAGCTGCCATCATCCGCTGCCTGGGGACACAGCTCATGTCCCTGAGTCTGT